ATAAATTTGTTTTTACAGAGAAAATTTATATATGAAACATATAAATAATTTTTCTCATAAATTAGAAAAATTTGCAGGAAAATTGTGTGAATCTTTGAAGTCGGTAAAAAAAACATGTATGAAATTACCTGATCGCTAAAAAGTATGTATACTATGCAAGCTTTTATATGTTCAGCTTCCATATACCCTTTCCAAGGATGAACATTTGTACATATAAAATAAATAAAATATGCAAGAAATTACATTAATTTTCTTTTCCCTCTAAATTATCCATTATAAAAGTCACCACAAAATAATCTGCGATTGGAACTGTGTACTTCTCAGATTATTGCTAAAGTCCTAGCTAGTAACCTTTATCGCCTTACCAAAATGTCACCAAACTACCTGTTACCGCATTCCAAAAATTAGCCCGAACTTTATTTATTTATTTTGCATGAATGTCTCTTTGTGCAATTTCTTTCACATTATCAAATGAAATGAAACTTCATCCTTTCAAAATTAGAATGAGTTTTGGAAAAGAAAAAAGTTTATTGGAACAAGATCTGGAAACTATCCAGTAGGAAAAGTACAGTTATCTCTCTTTTGCTAAAAAAGTTAGTAATAAAAAGAGATGCATACATGGATTTGTTTTTGTGATGGAAGAACCAAGATCCGCAGGCTGAGTATCTTTCTCCAAATGTTTTCTTTTAATCATTATAGCACTTCAAAATATTATCAGCGAGTTACTATTTGTTCTTCTAAAAAAACATCATGGGGGGATAATACCTTCGATTTAAAAAAAGGTCAAGTCTGAATTTTGATCTGATGAGTCATGCATTTTTCACCTTTAGGAAACCATTTCTGGTTTATTGTAGTGTTTGGACTTTTGTTTCAAACAAAGCCATATACCCATATCCCATCTTCAGTGATTATTCTTTTCTTTCAGTTAAAGCCATAAACCCATGTCTTATCTTCTGTGATTATTCCTATCATGAAATTTCTGCCCTGATTTGCACAATCTAAAACTTTCCAACAAGTTGCAGTGCAGTTGTTTTTCTAGTCTTGAATCAGCAAGTATAGAATGAATTTTATGGCAGTTCAATGCATTTCCAATTTCTCAATCAAAATAATCAGCAATTTCTCATACAGTCAATTGCCGATTTCAGAATCGTTTGATTATTTAGACATATGCTTATCAAGGCATTGTACTGAAGATGTTATTAAAAGAATAATTTGGGTTTGTTCAAATACGCTAAATAATTATTGTAAAAAAAATTAAAATATGTAACTATAAAGAAAGAAAGAAAAGAAAAAACTCTCATAAAATGGAAACTCAAACTTGTAAAAGCGTGAGTATGATGCAGAACTTATCATAATGAGGAATGTTTTGTTCCCTTGCAAAAAAAATTTCACTGTCATTTAAATTAAAATATCAGGTTTGAAATGAAATAATTAAAACAGAATGTTAGCAAAATGGTAAAAATCAGTTTTACTTTCATTTAATAATAACTTATGCAAATGAATGTTAGGTTCAATTTATTCTGAAATTTATATCTGTAGGAAATCTGAAATTGTATGCATATATTTCATGATGTCATTTCATTGGAAAAATTTCATCTGTTTTTTTCAGCAGCTTATAAGGCAAATTCTCTCAATTATATGCTAAGAGAAAATTACAGATTAGAATTTATTAGTTATCTAGAATGATAATCAGTAAAGAGAAAAATTAGAATTTGTATTTATCCAACAACTTTCATTTCGTTTACTTTTCCATATAATTAAAAAACAAAGAAATATTCCTGTCTCCTTGGAATAATACTTAAGATTTAGGTTTAAAAATATCATTATGAATTTAATTATGAATAATAAATCATAAACGGTGAGTGAAACAAATAGGAAATAAGCAGGACCGGGAAAAATATATTTATGGGTGCCCCTTGGGGAAAATTGGCGATTTTTGGCAGTACATGGTTACCAACATTGTGCAATTCTTTGACTTGTTATTTTGGCTTTGCGCCAAAAATCGCCTCTACACAAAGCCAAATAACAAGTCAAAGAATTGCACAAACTTGGTATCCATGTACACATTGACCTATTTTCTCTTATTGATTGTGCAAGTTTTAAGGTATGGTCCAGTCAAATTTGTCATTTTGATCCAGTTTCTTATTAAAAATTAAAAGATGTCAAATGTCATTGTTTTCAACATTGACCATCACAAAATCAATGTACAGATCTCGGCTTACAGATAAACATCTTGATGATGGCTTAGCAGAAATAATATCATACTCTCCTAATTATGAAGCAAGGGCCTATGAAATGCCATGCCAAATATCCCATTGACTTTTAAGTTACACTTTTATAAAGAATTTTTATACCATTGAAATCTAAACTAAGGATTTTGTAATCTTTTGTTTATACTATTCTGTAATTATTTATTTTTGGATAAGAATACAGTCAGTAATTTTTATATCTTAAAATTATATTTTTTGAATGATTTTTTCTTTTGTGCATATATATAATACAGTATGCCAGATTCGGACTTGTCGGGACTTCCGCAATTCCGGATTTGGGATTTTTTTGGATATTAGATCACCAGTTTAAATCTAGTAAGATGGCATATAGAAATAATGAAATAAAAAATATGATATCGTGATTTATGAAATAATGAAGCATTTATGATCTAAAGGGTATCAAAATTTATGAAGAAAGCTTAATATTAATTTTTTTTTACTTTATTAAACATTTCTTTCAAGTTGTTTAAGTTGCTTCGTTTTTTGTGCTAATACTTTCTCTTTAATTCTATAGAGAGACATAATTTCTTATTCAGTTACAAAGTTCCATAGTTGAAGTGCTGTAATTGCTGTGTCTAGAATTCAGACTAACTTGTCCATCAAAATTTTTTCTTCTCTCTGTCACTCTGTCTGTAGTGGTATTTTCTGGGTTTAAAATCATACTACAGATTTTGCCATCTGATAACTGACTGATGATTGACGAGCATTGTCATCACAATGAAAAACTTCTTTTATAGCTTCTTTATTTATTACCGCTTCTCCACATTTCTTTATAAAATCCGCTCATTGGAAAATTTCACCTTTGGTTTGCGATGTCTGAAAACCTTCAGATTCGCGGCTATCATCATAAAATTTAGCTATCATTCACTGTACATATTTTGCTATGTATTATGAGATTGGCAACTAAAGACAAGTTATTCCGCTAAATTTTATCTTGCTTCTATCGTGCACTGAGACAATTAAGCCTGAATTGTATTAGTTATTTATTATACTTACAGCTATTTTTTGCACATGCTTAAGGCTTATCTGAGTTCTGAATAAATAAATTCCCAGATATTAAGGCTTATTGAGGGCCAGTGCCTGTTGCAGTCTCTGTGGCTCCTAAATTCTGCTACCAAGTGCCTCTCTTTCTCTTTCCTAAATTCTGCTGCCCAGTGCAGCCATATGAACTCTGGCGCTAGTTCTGGGTTCTCTGAATAACAAATCAGTTATTCTTAATTCAAATAGCACTAAATGTAATCTTTTGGCTTATGACCATCATTAACAAAATCTATTTGTAGCATATGAAAAGAAATTTTCGTTAAATTTTTCCTGTCAACATTTCTTAGCGCACTTAACTTAAATCTATAATCATCGCCAAGCGTAATGTCAACATAAAAAGTTACGATGCTGTTTCTCAGTTACTAATATAAATATAATAAATAATGATTTGCCTGCTGCTTGGCATCAGGGATATAAAATATTAGTAGGTGTAAAATCAATGATGTATCTGTAGAATGTTTCGGTTTGAGATGTATGACCGGCAGCTATGGAGCCAAATTATTGATCATACAAATTTATGCTAAAATGATTGTTTCTTTAATAACGAGATATTTTATTTAGTGCCGAAGTGAAATTAAGAATCGGGGCTCTCCACATGTTTTATTATGTGCAGGGGTAGGGATTAAATGGGCATGTGTACAGCACCTGCACAAACACACAAAAATATAATGAAATAATAAAAAAAAGTTGATAGTGGCCTTTGAGGTTTGAATTCTAGATCATTCCGAATATTGGACGTCCAGATCTCGGACTTTGTTCTGTATTAACTGTTTCAATTCACAAATTTACCTTCAAAGAATATATATGCCTGCCATTCCCACTGAAATTCTAGAATGTGCTTCAAGGGGCAAAAATGTAGTGATTCCTAATGTAGTCTTTATTTCACATTACGGAGGTAGGACACATGTTAAATCAGTAATGATGACTTTTCTGTTAATTAGTAACAAAATGACACATTCTCAGGAAATGGTTTAATGACAACAAATTTCAGAGTGATAAAGGTATCAAAACAATGGCTTGATGTAGAAGGCATCACACTTTAAAAGGCTGGCTCTGCAAAAGATAATTTTCATGGTAAGACAAATACATCTTATTGGTCTTCTTGGTTATGGAAAAGTAAAGAAACCATCATAGAATGCAATATACAGTGTAGCATTTCCAAAGCAAAAGCATTTCCTTTTGAGGTAATATCCCTGTGCATTTATTTATGGCATGGTTCCCAAAGTTTTTACTTATTTTGTACATGACTGATATGAGAAAAATTTATTGAATAATTGATCTCTATCTTCAAGATTTTGTTGCTCCTTCAAAATGTAAAATTTTATGTGTGAACATTTTCCAATAAATGAAATAGTATGTTTACCTGAAATATCAAATTGTCTAACACCTTTTTCTGTTGCTTATAATACCGAATCATACAGAATCTTTAATTGAAAATTTTTGTAACTGTTGATAATGTAATGATTAAGTTACTTGCATATTTTATTCTTTTTTAATTGTCTTGCAGCAAACAGTGGATTTTTCACTGTGATGAACTTGTCTGATAAAAATTTGAAGCTTTTTCCTGAAAGAATTTTAAAATCTTTTCACATATGACAAACTGAAAGATGAACCCTATTTTACAAGTTCTGTAATAGAGTTTTGTTTTTTAATTAATCTTAATGGATTAATTTTTTATTTTTGTATTAGTGGAACCCTTGAAGGTAAACTACCAAAACCTAGTTACAAATCTCTAATCAATGATCCTATTTTAAAATATTCTGGAATGTTTGAAGAAAAATGCTCTGATCTTCATGTAACCTGCCAAGTATATGCAGATAACAAGCCTCTAGCATTCCCTATTCAAACATCATACAAAGCTTTCACTACTAGGTGGAAGTAAGTATTATATTTATTATTTAAATCTCTTTCATTCATTCATAAATTATAACATTTTTATAGCAGTTTGTAATAATTGTGTTTAGCTATGTAAAATGAAGACTTGAAACTTGAAATTCTTCCATTCTCAAAACAGCGTCAGAAAAAAATTAATACTCTTAAATTTATCTGCACAGTCATTCCTAGTAACTGATAAAATGTATGATAAAACTGGGATAACCTTTGGTTAACAGTCTACCAGTCATAATCAGGCAACACAGGGCTAAACATGTTTATTCCGTTTCACATGTAGTTATGTAATGGCATCTATGCAAATGAGGAGGAAGTATGAACACTGATCTAGTAAATTTCCCTTCTATGTTATAACAGCCTTGGGCAGAAAGGAAACTAGTGCATTTCAGTATTGATGAGAAACAGATGGTTACAAATAAACAACTCTCATTTCTCACAGAGGCTCTGTATCATAGTGGCATTTTCCCTTCAACATTTTTAGTTGCTTGATGTACTTTAAAATGAATGAAAGAAAGAAAGCATTCAGTATGGATTATATAATTTGGAATTTCTAAATAATAAAGAGTCACCATTAAATTCTTCCAAGAAAAATGTATCACCCACACTAAAAGGCTATGTTCGTAAAACCATAAAATTATATTTTACTACAGCTGGAGTGCCAAAATGCTGCACTGAAAGATCATATTATAGAAAGAACGATTTATAGAGCAAATGTTGATTTGATGGATTGTGCATTTTTTTATAACTACAAACCTTTTTTTTAATACTACTATATTCTTTTTCTGGTTTCAAGAGCTCATGTAAGGACAGAGGTTCTCAATCAGGGGTATTTCATAATTTCTGGGAGGGAGGAATGTGGTTAGCCTTTTATTTAGGTGTTAAGTATTAGTTTATGAATATAAAAAACTACTTTATTCAAGTTTAAGTATTTAACAATGTTTTTTTATACTTTTTGTTGTCTAATTTATAAAACACATTAAAAGTAATCTAAATATTTATATGTGTATATATGTAATTTTCAAGTTTTGGAAAGGAAGGGGAATGATCTTCCAGCAATAATGCAATGGAACAAGTGAAAACCACTGTGTTAGAAGAATTCTTTCAAGTGCATCTAGTATCAAATCTCTATATGATCGTCAGTTGGAATGACTGCATGCTTTCTTATTTAGGAATTTCTGTATTTTTGTACTTACTCTGGATTTAATAAAATATCCATTCCTTCCATGAAGATATATATCTGCTATGTCTGATTAGAACTTTGCACCAGTATTTATATTTGGTGCCAAATGGCAGCCTGCTAATTCTGAGTACTCAATTAAACATGAAAATCTAGTCATTTATAATTATCCTTATGGTTATAAACAGTGTTTATTCATGACTTAAAACAACTTTCGAGTTAGAAAGTACAGTAGGATTTTGATAATCCCCGAATGTCTGTAATCTCTGCATGCTTTCAGAGGTAAACAAACAAAAATTAAGTATGTGGGAAAGTTTACTGACAAGTTTTATTATAGACCCATGTAAATAAATTTTTTAACAAAATTATACTATATTAATCACAATTTTTTGTAGAAAAAAAGAATTAATTTTATTAATGAAGTTTATTTTTTTCTGCATAAATAGTACTGCTTTTGTTTTTTGTTATTATTACTACGTATGGACTAGTTCCTCTGCAATTATATCATTTTTAATAAATATTTACATTTGTATATGTATTTTGCAGTCTTTTAAAATTAATTTTAAATGTGTATGGTAAATGTAGATAATTTTTTTGTCCTCCTCTTTTTCAGATCCCATTTTAAAGTTTAAATGCATTACAGCTAAGCATCCTCATAACTGGTTTGTTTACAAGTTTTGTTAAAAGAATAGAGAGAGGGATGCTTAATATTATTTGCAGATATTCTCTTGACATACAGAATAGAAAAATTGAAATGGGGACTGAAGAAGAGAGAACTTTTAAAAATAAATCTTAAATTTCAGTTATATCACTTATAATTAGTAATAGCACATATGTGCCAAACGTAATTATGGGAATAGCATAAGGAGTCATTTGAGGGAAAATATTATTGACAGAGTATTTGAAAACAGTGTTTTTAAAATAAATAAAAAACAGTTTTATTTATTTTTGCTTTAAGAGCACAAAAATTATTTTGAAAGAAATTTTTATTGTGTGTATGAAGTTTTTATTTATTTATTATTATATTTTTTCTTTATGTTTCATGCCATTAAAATTTAGATATCCTCCGCCCGAGTTTCTTGGGGAAAAAATTGTTTGTAAATGGTGTGGAATTTAAAGTTACTTTGCAGACTTTCAGACCTTTGCTATCTCCTGCAAAAGCCAGAGAATTGTTTTGTTTTTCCAAAAATAGAGATTTAGATTTTCCTGAACTTTTAAGAGAAGAAAATGCTTTAGACTGGATGACTTCTGTTACATGTTAGATGAGGCTTCTGTTACATCACAACTGACTGATGATGAATTTCTTTCAGTATATTAAACATAGTTGATAAAAATTTGGATACTCAGCCTGATAATGAGAAAGCAAAAATTACTTTGGGTGAGGATTTAGCATTAGGCCAACAGTACCTAAACATTCTTGAAACACAAAGTTTTGAGATGTATCAGGAAATGTGTACACTTCAAGAAAAAGTAATGGGGGGGGGGACTTAGTGTTAAAAAAATAGACACAAAGTTCCAGAAGTATAAAAGTAATCATTTGTAACACTAATATTCATATGTAATTATATTTAAAAATATAGTGATTTTTTAATAAAGAATTCTAAGTATATAAGCTTGTTTTAGCTACTTTCGTGCAAATAATCTAAATGTAATATAAAAATTAGAAAGGTAAAATTGTAATCAGTGCTCAGAAAAACATGACCTGTAATCATCTAATCTGCAAACCCTTGGTCTCGAAGTGTTATGATTGATCAAATTCTTTATATTTGATGTTTGAATATCAGTGATATATTATTGCCGTATTTGATGGCATATAAGACGCACCCTTATTTAGAAGGCGACACACAAGAAAAAAAGTTTGAATAGTCTGCACGAAAGTACGGTACCATAATAACTTAAAATGTGGTTTCTTTTAGTTCTCACGTTTCGTAAACGCCAAATAAACAATCATTGAATGCAATTACCAAACATATTTTTATTAAGGAAAATTAAGAAATGACAAGCTATTTTGAACATGATATTTTCTGTGTGATAGTTGTTTTTGTGCGCATTGATAAGCCTTACCTTTTCGTGAACCTGCAGCACCAGCCCTCAGACCCTGAAAAGTTCTGATTCCCATGTTTTTCTTCAAATCCTTTGGCCTCATTGATTATCATTTTGGTTGAAACACTTATCCCAGATTTCCTCTTATCTATCACCCAAATTTTTACGGCATTCAGGCCAAGATGGCCAAGATGTTCAGGCCAAGATGGAACTGGGCATTGAAGGTTATGTTTTTGTTTTTTAGCAGCCTGCAGTCGCAAAGAACGTATCATTTTTTTGGTAGGTGGTGGACTGAAATGCCTTGCTGCTGCTCTGTTTCCATGCTCTTTGGCATGGTTTAACACTCCTAGTTTATACTGAATTGTATAGCTTAATCTCTTGCTTCATGTACTCATATTTTCCAGGGTATTTTTTTAAAACAAATAGTTTTAAGCACTGATACTGACACGTTTATACAGTAGTACTGATACTGACATGTTTACAGAGTAGCACCTATACCGGCTGAGTCAAAGAAAGATTATGTAAAGAAGGAAAGGCTTCATAGACGTAATGTGACCGTCAAACCTGTTCGAACTTTGACATCAGGTTCGAGTTTTGATGCTTTTTGGTGACAGATATTTCACGCATGCGCAAAATAATTATGGCAGATGTCGAAAAAGTTATGTGTGTCTAGACCTTTATCCGGGCTAAAAATAGCATTTAGTATTGAAAGTTAACCCGTGTCCTTCACGTAAAAGACGCAGGTAACTTTTTTTGGACTAAATTTAGGGAAAAAAGTGCGTCTTATATGCCGTCAAATATGGTAACAAGTTTTAACATCAGAATTAATGTGGAAGAAATTTCACCATCATTTAACAATAATTTTTAGCCATTTCTAAAATGATATATCACTGCCTATTTGTCTTTGGCATAATCAGTTTACTTCATGAAAAGATTGTACACGTAACCTTAAGTTTTCTGAATTTAAAGTAAAGCATATTTTTCTTTTATAAAATTATCTTATTTGGATGGGCATGATATCAATGATATATATTAATTGCCACTGTGGAGTAAGAAAATAGTTTTTTCAGCTTAATGACTGCAGTGGATTACATAGAAAAGTGGAAAGGCAAAGGACATGTGTATATGTATATGTATATATAGCGAAATGAAATGGTGTCCAAATAGCTACAGAGCTGCAAGCTAACTGTGAATTTATCCAATATGACAGTCTGTTAAGAGAAAGGTTGTGGTTGAAGTTAGAAAAGTTTCAGTTCCCGTGAGTTCAAGATTCAAAAAAGCTATGTTGTCAACATTATGCAAGTGGGATAGATTAATTTAGAAATAACATAATTCATAGGAGTTATTATGATTTTTAGAATAGAGAGGGAGAGTTAAGGGGTTGCTATTAATTTAAATTATTATTTTAATTTACATATTTTTTATCTTACATATTCCCCCCCCCCTTCCAAAGAGGAAACGGCTTGCCAAGAAAAAAGCCTAGGTGTGTTAGACAAGAGAAAGTTTTTTTTACAGTATTTACAGTGTGTAAAACATGAGTAGGCATTAAGGACACAGCTTGTAGGTTTCACTATTCCCCATCATTATTCATGAGTTTTTCTTTCATATGCAAATTAGAAAATACTTGAAAATCTAATTTAAAATATTACTACAAAATATAATTTCTAAAAAAGTGAATGACAATAAATTGACAAAAACATAATTTTGAAAGTTCTTAAGCTCTGTTTTTGTCAAAAAATGTAATGTAAATATTCTGTCAAAAAATGTA